GTAGGACTTAGGTCGTGCCTTAGGTAAGACGGGGTATCGGTAGGTATACGTAGGTGGGAAGATGTTGCGAAGGGTACCAGTATTATTATTGAAATATTCCATATAGAGTCGGGTGAGACTGACTAAGAAACTAGGCTGCGGGGATAGTACAGAATTGTTATTGGCTGTTATGTATATATGTCTAGTTCTAGATTTGTATATAACTTTATTAATGTTATCGCTATCTTATTGTTGTATATTGTTGCACGTATATTGTTGTATAGTTGCATTGACTGTATCATATAGGTTTAATAACCCAAATTTGAGGTGAGTAAAGCGATAATCTTTCGTCAACGCATAGGAGCGACAGCTCGTCTCTTAATTCGCACGTGTGACCAGCTGGTACCGAGGCCCCCACGGTTGTGGACGTCGCCTCGTCGTCAATTTTCATTGTCAAATTATCGACTCAGTGGAGGCCCCCGGAAGTCCGGCAGTCGCCTACAGCTAGCTGCGCCAGTAGCACTTAAATTTACTGAAGGAACCGAAACTTCATAACTGACACTGTGAGACCGACAGTGCCTGAGCTAGCATTTTCGCTCATCGGTACACCTTGTACTTACCTGAAAATATAGCCACTGAAACATACACAAGCTCCTTGAAAATGATGCGAATCACTGCCTTAACTTCATCTTTGCTGTAATAGTTTGGTTTTGGGTTTTATTTAGACCAATATTTTATTTTCCCGCACTGATAAAGCAGAGGTCAATAAGATAGAATAGATTATCGATAATGTGTGGATGCTGTAGACTAGCGAAAGGTTTCTAAAGACTGCAATTTGGCATAGGTTCAGCGCCAAGATTTTACCAACGGGTTCTCCGGCCAAGTGCCACCCCAGGACCACGGAGTACCAACCCTGATGCAAGTCTGGGCCCCGTGTGCGGCCACGTGAAAATTTTGGCGGAAAAATCGCGAACTCGAGAACCAGAAAAGCTAAGGGGCTGAAATTTTCGGGGGATGCTCCCAGATCACATACAACTTAAAGATTTCAAATCCAGTCCCCCGTTATTGTGGCAATCACGTACTTGTCGACATTGGGAAATCTCAATTACCGATGAACTGTATAAAATTTGAATTTTCTAGCTGTCTTTTTGATAAGCATCTGAATGTTTACATTTTTTATGCGTTTTTGCTGTGCAGCGCTAGAGCGCTGCAACAGGCAGCAAAAACGCATATTGCAA